ACATGACTAAGCCTTCTATGCCATAACCAACCCATGCTAAAGTTAGTGAACAAGCATGTTGACAATTGAGCTTCACTAGCATTGAAATCAATCAAGTATAGATTCTCATATCTAAAGCCTTTGAAGATCAAATTAGAGCCATCTACACTTATGATCTCTATATCATCTACTCCAAATATGCATTTGAACCTAAGATCACGCAATTGAGCCATGGATAGCAAATGAAAGTTCAAGCTCTCTACTAGCAACACATTGGAAATGCTCATGTCATTGGATATTGCAATCTTATCAAGTCCTTTGACCTTGCCTTTGCCATTGTCACCAAATGTGATACAATCATAACCATTGCTATCATTGGTGTTGATTGAGTTAAACATTCTTGCATCACTGGTCATGTGTTGAGTGCACCCACTATTAAGAATCCAATGTCTTCCTCCGGCTTTATAATTGACCTACAAAAGATTAATTTTTTAGTACCCAAACTTGCTTGGATCCTTGAAGATTAGTTACTAAGCTCTTTAACACCCAAATAGCTTTCTTCTTTGAGCCCACAATTGGTGTACCAACAAACCTACCTTCACACCATTGGCACCATTGGTAAGCAAATAACAAGAATCAAACTTAATTGAGGATACTTTAGTGTTCTTGTTCTTGTTCTTGTTCTTGCAATATTGCTCTACATGCCCAACTTGCTTGCATCTATTGCTAAACCGACAATTGCCCTTCACAAAACTAGTCCTGTGAGTTGCAAGGGCCACCTTGCCTTTCTTAGGGATATAGCCCAATCTCTCTTTGTTGAGAGAAAATCTTTGGCTACCAAAGTACTTTAGCAAGCGGGCCTCACCACCATAGGCATTGCCTACGGTGCGAGTGAGCTCATTGACCTCCTTCTTTAAGGTCTCATTCTCAACCATAAGTGAGGCATCATAAGTAAAACCATCACTCATAGGTGAAGTGGAAGTGGATGATGAACTACATGAATGGTTAGCGGGAGCAACAGCAATAGGCTTATAGAAAGATTCATCAATTATATCACAAGTTAAGCCTATGTCACATGTTACCACCACTTTCTCATTTTGCTCAACAAGAATGGAATGAGACTTTTCAAGCTTAGAGTGAGCCTTACCAAGCTTATCATGGGCATCCTCTAGCCTCTCATGAGATGCATTGAGCTCATTAAAGTCGTGCTTAAGGGCTTTTAATTCCTTATGTAAGTCTTTGAATTCCTTTCTTTTGAGATCAAAGTGAGTTTTATCATCTTCAAGCATGTCAATTAGTTCATCTTTAGTGGGTTCATCACTATCACTTTTACTCTCACATTCATCATCATAAGTTTGTACCTTAGTGGCCTTAGCCATGAAGCAAGTTGATGGAGTGTCAAAGAGACAAGGCTTCTCATTCATGGCAATGCTTGCAAGAGCCTTCTTCTTGGTGGTCTTATCATCATCACTTGAGGAAGCATCACTATCCTAAGTAACCACATATGAACCACCCTTCTTCTTTTTCTTGAAGGTCATCTTGTCCTTCTTGTCCTTCTTCTCCTTCTTGTCCTTCTCTTTGCCCTTCTTGTCATCATCTTTATTATCGCTATTGTAGGCGCATTGTGCAACAAGATGATCCTTGCTACCACACTTAGAAGCACCTTCTTGCTTCATCCTTGCTCTTGAATGATGACTTCTTCATTCTTGCATGATAGCCCTTCTTCACTATGAATTTGTCAAATCTCTTCACAAAGAGAGTCATCTTCTCATCATCAAACTCGTCAAAGCTTGAGTCTTTATCTTCACTTGATGATTCTTGCTTTGCCTTGCCTTTAGATGATGTGGCCTTGAATGACACACTCTTTTTCTTCTCATCCTTCTTCTTATGTTTCTTTTTATTCTTCTCTTCCTTCTCATCGTCATCTCTATAAGTATCATCGGTCATGACATCTCCCAATACTTGGTTTGGTGTCATGGTGTAAGAAACACTCCTCACTAGAATAGTAACCAATGTGCCAAATCTTGAGGGTAAGCATCTCAAGAACTTATGAGAAAAGTCCTTGTCCTTCACTTCTTCACCAAGTGCATTGAGATCATTGACAAGCACTTGGAGCCTATAAAACATCTCCAGCACACTCTCATCATCCTTCATCTTGAAGCTAGCAATTTTTTCCTTGAGGATGTATGCCTTGGCACCCTTCACCGCTTGTGTGCCCTCAAATGACTCCTCTAACTTCTTACAAGCCTCATGAGCCATCTCAATGTCCTTGATTTGCTCAAATGTCCTCTCATCCAATGCATCATGAATGGCACTAAGAGCAATGTTATTGTTTTGGAGAAGAACTTTTTCGGCCATGGAGGGAGCTTCCGGATTAGCTACCTCAATCTTGGTCTCCACCACCTTCCACACCTTTCTATTGATTGACTTGATGTAGGTGATCATTTTTGCCTTCCAACAAGGATAATTAAAGCCATCAAATTAGGGTGGCTTCTTGGTGTTGTTGATTTGAGCCATTTTGATACCGACGGTTGTTAAGCCTCAAATCACGGTGACCTCGGCTCCGATACCACTTGAAAGGTCCTAATAGCTAGAGGTGGGGTGAATAGCCTATTAAAAATCTACAACACTTAAACCAAGTGGTTAGTCAATAAAGCAGCGAAGCGAGTGTTGCGCTAGCCTACTAAAAATGCAAGCCTCCTATCCATAATTCTAGTTGCTAAGATCTCTATTTCACTCACAAGAGGCTATATCACTACCACTAAATTAGTGAGCTCTCAAGACTAACTAAAGAGCCTCACTAACCACTCGACACGACACAAGCTAGCTCTCAAAACTAGTTACACTAAAGAGCTTAGCTACACTAGGAATGTAAATACAAAGCTGAGGTAGTGAAGATATACCGCCGTGGCAAGTGACAATCAATCAATCAAAATAAATACCAATGAAATCCTCGGAGACAAGATGACATAATGATTTTTCATCGAGGTTAACTTGTTTGCCGGCAAAGTATTCTCCGTTATAGCGATACACCGACTTGGAGGTTTATGAGCTAATAGACATCACATGCCTAACCCGCAACTGGGTGCCGCACAACCAACATAAGATGAGGATCCACAAGCCACGAGCAATCCACTAGAGTACCTTTGGGCTCTCCGCCGGGGAAAGGTCAAGAATCCCTCACAATCACCACGATCGGAGCCGGAGACAATCGTCTTGTTTCGCTCGATGATCCTCGCTGCACCAAACCGTCTAGGTGGCGGCAATCACCAAGAGAAACAAGCGAATCCCGCAGCGAAACACAATCATCAAGTGCCTTTAGATGCAATCACTCAAGCAATGCACTTGGATTCACTCGAGCAATGCACTTGGATTCACCCGCGATCGGACGCTCGCCAGAGTCCGGTCCTCATTTGCTTCGCACAAACGCTTGCATCAGCGTACGTCACCTGCGACCGGACGCAGGCCCTGCGCGTCCGGTCACATTTATTGTTCAGCGTTCGATCAAAGGATCGAGGGCGACCTTCACTGCGCGCCACTGACCGGACGCAGGGTCAGGGTCTAGTCACTGCCCAAGGCAGAGTCCGGTCACTTCAAAACTTCTCCTTTTGACCCTAAACTTTACCACCCTTGCTCAAATGTGCTAGCCACCAAGTGTATCACCTTGTGCACGTATGTTAGCATATTTTCACAAATATTTTCAGGGGTGTTAGCACTCATTAGAATCTAAATGCATATGCAATGAGTTAGAATATCTAGTGGCACTTTGATAACCTTATTTCGATACGAGTTTCACTTCTCTTAATAGGACGACTATCTATCATAAATATGATCACACTTGCTAAGTGTCTCGATCACCAAAACACAAAAACTCCTATCAAGTTTCACTTTTACCTTGAACTTTTGTTTTTTTCTTTCTTCTTTTCCAAGCCTGAGAACCTCGATTATCATGGCCATCACCACCATCATGATCTTCACCATTAGCTCCACCACTTGGAGTGTGCTACCCTATCTCATGATCACTTAGAGTAAAATGGTTAGCAATTATGGTTTCATCAATTCACTAAAACCAAACTAGAGCTTTCAGGGGTTTGTCGTTGCCAGGCCAAGAAGGAGGGATTCGGGAGTAGGTAGGCCCCAACATGGTGGTGGAAGGGATAGCCGGACGTCGCCGGACAAGATATGGGTTGGAGAGGACTGAAAAAGCAGACCGACAAAACTATTTTAAGTGGCAGCTGGCAAGAGTAGTGACGGAGGACCCAGCGGCGATGGCGGCGCCGAAGGTAGGAGGAGGTGGGCGGGCTTTGGCGAAAGCATGAGAAATAAATAACCGAATAAAAGAATCGGATAAAAAAATAACCTATAACGGCTCGATCCCGTATTAAACTGGACTACACGAAGAGGCGTGTGCCTCATTTCCGAAACAAAACACAACACCTCATGAGTGACAGAACAGCACGAGAAATGGCAATAACCAAATCATGTCCTTGAATACTGCGCGCGGCGTACGTAACGAGCTGCGGTTGCTGCCCGTGCCAGCTCACCTGGCAGTTGATGACCCGCGGCGGCAGCGCCCCGGACCACCGCAACGGTCAGCTGCCCACCTCGGCGCCGGATGCGGTCGCGCCTGTGCCCAGCGGGCTCCACCCGTGAGACATGACGACCGGGGCCCACGGCGGATGAGGCACCCCACCAAGGCACCAACGGCCAAGATCCGCGGGGCGGAACTAGGAAAGGCGAAATTAGAGCGTCCGAGTCCGAGAAAAACCACGCACGCCGGGGTGCCGACGCCACTGCATGTCCGGCCTTGCAAGCCACACAAACAAGCACCACTATGAGACGCGAGCGGACCGAAGCGACCGCCGCCCACGCACCAACCTGCTTGCTCCTCCTCCTGGCTTCTTTGGCTGGAATAGCCGGATTGCCGTGCCCAGGCCAGCAACGGAGCGCAACAACACGGCCGGAGCTAAACAAGAGCAGCAGGAGGCGGCGGCGGGAGGACAAAGCAAGGAAGAAAGGAAATGGTGCGCGGGGCCAGGGATGGGCCGGCGCCGGCAGTGCTTCTTCTCCGGCGCGTCGCCGCCGCCGTGTCCGTCCTCTTGATGTTGATGCTGTGCTCCCCCGGCGCGGTGGTGTCGGCCCGGAAGGTGGGCGAGACGTGCGCGCTGGACCGGAACTGCGACGCGGGGCTGCACTGCGAGACGTGCGTCGCCGACGGCAACGTGCGGCCGCGCTGCACCGCGTCGCCCCGTCGACCCGCAGACCAAAGGTACATGCAGGTTCTCTCTCGCGCGTTCCTGTTCGCCATAGCTCACTCGATCGTCGGCCGGATTAATTGGATCGCTGCCGCCGGCGACACCGTCCCGTCCCGTAACAATTTGCGCGCGCTGTGGTGGCAGGCGCGGGACCTGCCGTTCAACCGGTACGCGTGGCTGACGACGCACAACTCGTTCGCGCGGCTCGGGCAGCGGTCGCAGACGGGGGTCGCCATCGCCACGCCGTGGAACCAGCAGGACACCGTCACCGAGCAGCTCAACGTGAGTTCCCCTCCCCCATCCAGTCTCTGGCTCCTCCTTCCTCAGCTTCCTGAGCTCGGCAGAGCTAGCAGCTCCTCGCTCGTCCACGTCCGGATGACCCGGCGGCGCGCCATGCACGCAGACGTTAGCCTTCCACGTCCTAGCAGCAGTACGCGGCACGGGAACGGTGTCGGCTTCTTCCTTCGGCTCCGTCGCTCGATCGCTGGCGCCAATCTTGGAGCAATTGCCAGCTCCTCCTGCTTCCACGGTTTGATTGGACACGGACACACGGCAAAGGAATAATTGGGCATGAGAACACCACTCCTAGAACACGGCAAAGTAGTAATATGTTTATTTACCGTCCAGCTGGTAGGCATGGGCGTGAGGTGCCGCTCGGCGCGACGCGACAGCCAACAGGTGTCGCGGGCGTTCTCCGCGTGCCGACGCGTGCACGCGCTCCAGACGGCGAGCGAGCTGCGTGCACGCCCGTGGTGGCGGAGCAGAGCCGCAACGAGCCCACAGCCACACGCCCGGCTGCAGCTGCGCTTGCTTGAAGCGTGGTCGCGGCACACATGGCACTGCACTGCGGCAGGCACGCGCGCAGGAGGCAGGATTCCTGTCTCTGTTCCTGTGATGGCCTGCGCGTCAATGAGCTCGGTTGCCGCGTCAATGTCTCGTCTCATTGCTTCGCCACGATGGCATTTCCGGCAACCATAACCATGTGGCATTCCGAATATGAACGATTTGGCCTTCTTCGGCCATGAAAAATATTGTTGGCTGATTTATTATGAAAAAAATCACTGTACCGTAACTGATAAGCTAGATTGATAAGTTCATGCGAACAGGAGATAAAAGACGGATGGCGGGATGGGGTGGGGGGCGTTATCTCGCCTTCAAGTAACATTGTTTTTTTTTTCCTGGTCTACATAGCTGGAAACGGCAACCTTTTAACCTGACTCCGGTAGCTAGACTGCAGAGCCAAGTCAGCACATAGATTTGGTCTCGCTTGAATTCTCTGTCTGTGGTGCAGAACGGCGTGAGGGGGCTGATGCTGGACATGTACGACTTCCGCAACGACATCTGGCTCTGCCACTCCTACGGCGGCATCTGCCAGAACTTCACCGCTTTTGTAAGCTCCTATTCCTCCCTACCCACTGAGGTAGAACACAAGCTATGACTCTGACCACCTCGAGTTCCCCTGGCACTGGCACTGGCACTGGCAGCAACCGGCGGTGAACGTGCTCCGCGAGGTGGAGCGCTTCCTGTCGCAGAACCCCGCGGAGGTAGTGACCATCTTCGTGGAGGACTACGTGGAGTCGCCCAAGGGGCTCACCCGGGTGCTCAACGCGTCGGGCCTCGCCCGCTACATGTTCCCGGCCTGGCGGATGCCCAAGACCGGCGGCGACTGGCCGCGGCTCAGCGACATGGTCCGCGACAACCACCGCCTGCTCGTCTTCACCTCGAAGCCCGGCAAGGAGGCCGCCGAGGGCATCGCCTACGAGTGGCGCTACGTCGTCGAGAACCAGTGTACGCTACTCCGTCGCCGTCCCTGTCCTTAGTTCTTTGCACCATGAGCGATGCAGATTCTGACGGCCGGCTGCTTCCTCTTGCTTGCAGACGGTACCAAGGGGATGGTGAAGGGGACGTGCCACAACCGCGCCGAGTCGGCCGCCATGAACGACCTGTCCAGGTCGCTGGTGCTCATCAACTACTTCAGGGACCTCCCCAACCTGCCGGCGGCGTGCAAGGACAACTCGGTGCAGCTGCTGGACATGGTCACCACCTGCCACGACAAGTCCGGGAACCGGTGGCCCAACTTCATCGCCGTCGACTTCTACAAGGTCAGCAGCCAGCTCCGTCGTTCGTCTCATCTCCGCGGTTCCTACTCAGATAAACTCTGAACCTGGGCTGTGAATTTTGGACGCAGAGGAGCGACCGAGGCGGCGCGGCGGAGGCCACGGACAAGGCGAACGGCGGCCTGGTCTGCGGCTGTGGGAGCATATCGGCTTGCAACGTAATGCCTCCTCTCCTCGCTGTACATAGCCTCTAGTAAAATTCTCTTGTGTAAATTACTTAGATGGAACTCTGTGTGTGTGTTGTGTCTGAGCAGGCCAGCGGGACATGCACTTCCCGGCACGGCAGGACGCCCAAAGGCATCTTCAACGCCTCATCCGACGCGGCGGCGTGGAGGCCGCCGCCGCCGGTGCTGCAATGGCAGCGGCTCATCCTGCTGCCGTCTCTCCTTGCTCTTCTTCTGGGCATGTAAATTCTGCGTATTTGTTGTATAGACGGATTGGTTTGGTTGCAGCCAGCGAGCGTATTTTGTTGTATGTATAGACAGATTGGTTGCAGCCAGCTAGCAGCTTAGTCTACAGTAGTCTGTGTATGAGACAGGGTGCATATACAAGGTTAAACGCAACGGGCCTGTTCGCTGGTTGGTGCTGGTGCTGGTTTGGGCTGGCTGGTGTTGGTTTTTTATGAGAGAAAAACACCGTTGACTGGCTGGTTTAGGCTAGCTGAAACCAACAAACGAACAGGCTGAACATCAAATGCGGAAAGATGCTCTTGCTCAGTTGCTCTAGCTTGCTGATCGATGCAGAACTAAAACAGGGGACGGCCTTAGGATTCTTACTAAATATATAAACTGAGAGCCTAATGGGCCAGTTTGAGCTCCTAGCAACGGAGTCACGGAGGCATTTTGTATGGGCTTACTAGATGCGACTGATAGTCTGATAGTGACTAGTGAGTAGTGACCGTGGTGCAAAGAATCACATCCAAACACTCCCGGTGTATATGTGTATAACGAACCCACGAATGCAGGCTAAACCTCCAGCAATTCAACACTAAAAATACCCTGCAGTTAAAATAAAGCCATGCCAGCAGTCCAACACAAGAAAAAAAATACCCTGTAGTTAAAAATAATGTCATGTCTAGTGCAAACTCCACGGCAAAACAAACCAAGCCAGGAGCATTCTCATAACTAGGCCAGCATCATGCCATCCCTGCAACTCTGAGGTTGTTTGGTTGCCAGCCTTGGTTCGCCTCGCCTAGGCATTGGCGGCCACAGAAAGAGCAGGCGGCTGCTTGGCTCGTAATTAATGTGCGGCACATCACACCATCTTCAGTTCATTTCCAGCAAATTTCTCGTCACAGTTGTGGCGTTGTTTTTTACCGCCACAGCAGGAGTGTGGCGCTGTGTGGCCGGCAGCCAAACAGGCTCTTGGGCTAAACTCCGTAACTTGTCGAGGAGCCATTGGCACGGTCACAAATTAGCATTCTGGTGAATCTAACACTAGGATTAGAGTTGTCACAAATTAGCATTCTGGTGAATCTACCACTGGGGTTATGGTTCTGAATATCGGGTGAATCTAGCATCAAGGCGAACCATGAAGGCACTAATCCCACCTTCTCCTGCTTTACATTTTTATAGCCACAGAAGCCTCCCCCCCCCCTATACAAATGCAAATATAGAGTTCATAAAACACAAAAATAAAATAAAGAGAGTTATATTTTACACTAGCAAAAGCCAATTTCATCCATAAGTTTGGTTTGATGTGGTTGGGGTGTGTTAGGTCTAAACAATAGTGCAACATCGTGGCAAAGCCAATTTTATAAGTTTGATTTGATTTGGTTGAGCCATTGAGGTGTGCCAGGTCAAGACAATAGTTCAAAACCTAGATGACACGTGCGGTCTCTAGTGGCAAAGCCAATTTCATGTTTGATTTGATTTGGTTGGGGTGTGTCAAGTCTAGGTAATAGTGCAGCACCTAGAAGACACGTTAGGGCCTTGGTGGCAAGCCACTTGGTGAATCCTCCCCCACAAAAATTAAACTTACATCAAGGTGGGTACTTGATCCATATATCAGATGTTAAACTGATAAGAACACATACAACACTTCATCTTAGCCAAAAGGCCGACAAAGGTATGAATTGGATATTGACCGGCCTCTCCTTTTGTTGCCCCGTCCTGCCTTCACTATACTCTTGCCAGTCGATGTGGGACTAAAACAGTAGTATTTACTATTTAGTGTTCCCATGATTCTTGTTTTATGGACTGGCCTACTTTATGGACTGGGCCTACGAGAGCCCAATGTGCCACGTTGAGCTCCTAGCTTAGAGAATCTCAGTTAGAAACCGTTATACTAGGCCTTTTCCTTTTGTATGTATCTATACAAGAAATGAAGTTGGATAAATTCGAAATGAAGCTGGATAGATTCTTAGGTGAGTTCGTAAAACAATGAAGTTGGATAGATTCCAAATGAAGTTGGATAGATTCTTAACGTGAGTTCGTAAAACATGGTAAATAGATGTAGTTCCAGTTAGCATGTTGTCGCTACTACAGTTGCAGCAGCAAAACTGAGTCTGAATGTGAGCTCCTAATGCGCTCTTAATAATGGAATTGTGTTCGAAGAAGTTCAAGAATGCAATACAAAATTGTCAGAGTCTGAGCTCCAAAAGCGTTCCTACTGATAACCCCCGTACCCGTGTGAAAGAAGTACTTCAAGTTTCACCTGGCAATTTAGGCCCTGTTCGTTTCGTGCTGAAAAACAGGGCGATAAAAGATATCTCGACATATATGCAATACTTGCCTGCAACGCAGAAGGCAAAATCGACCGACCCAGGAAGGCTCATACCACTGGAACAACATTGGCATCACTGGAACTATATCCTGCCATGGCATATCTTGCCTAGGCAGAATTTTGCGCCATCAGAAATCGTAGCAGCCATAGAGCGCCATTAGAAATTAGGCTGAGCTTGTTTTAGCCCTAGGGCCACAGCCAAAGACTGACAAATACTACGCAGAAAACCACAGTACCTTGACAGATTAGATTTGCTACAGTTCCTTGACAGATTAGATTTTCCTCATGGCTCCAAACAGAAACAGCTTGCGGACACAACAAATGAAACAACATCGCAGCATCACCAACCCATCAGACAGACAACCACCAAAGGCAGGACGATTACTTATTAGCGAAAAAAGTAATAACTTGAAAACCCAAGCGTTTTGCAAAGACTATTATACTGGAACCAATGTATAATGATAGACCAATTTTTTTTGCATATGTCAGCACTGGCCGATCCGGATAACATTACTAGTACATAATAAGTGTCCTTCAAAATTAAAACGCCTTACGCGAACGGAAACATCATGTCCAAACTAAGGGCAACTTCACTCCATGGAAGACGAGGTCGGGCCAGCGCCAAAGCCACTTCCGCCACCACGGCCAAACCCAGGCCTCCCACCAGAACTCTGCAATATTGTAGGTGCAGAAATATATATCAGCAAGTATGAAATACAGTAATTATAGAAAATGGATTTTTCAATCATACAAAAGCCAAATTGACACTAGCAATACTGTAATTATAGAAAATGGTTGTTAACACATTTGGGCAAAATGAGCAAAAGCATTAGGTTTACTGATATGGCATGTAGCATAAATATACAATGTACCTACAAGGAGACTGCACAAACAGGCTGTATTTGCTTCAAATACTAAGCCAAGCTCTTCCACTCCCACATGTTATTTGAACCACTAACTCGGACTTTTAATGTAGTATCCTTCGAATATATACTACTTTAAAAACACAAGTTGGTGCATGACAGTCACAATACACCATCACATCCAATCTCCATTCAATATCACCTAGTCCCTTTTAAAACTAAACGATATATCAGGTAAAACCTTCTAGGAGAAAAGCTATCAAATTAACTTTATCCCAATACTCGTATGTCCTCTCCTACAAGAACATTTCTGGAGGCACAGGAGCACAGTTGCAGTGTGATCAGCCTAGCCCAACAACTGTTCATTGTGCCTCTGCTTTCTGTTCGTAAATTAACAGGATATGATGACTTTATTCAAATATTTACGACTAACTAAATACAGTTAAAGGAGGGCCTTGTGCCAAATGTCTAGCTTTAATGAAGGGCTCACAGGATAGCAAACAGATAATCACCACCAACTCCCATCTTTTAAAGTAGTATAATGGTTACGGTTACTACTATAAAAGATTGAGTTGGTGCAGGATAGATTGCTGTCTCATCCGAAGTCCATTCAAGATTCCTAACTGCCAGCAAATCTAGGAATATGACTTCAGAAAAAATTACTTAACATATTCATTTCAATCCTAACATAGTGCTTGCCCACCCCTTAGAATGCACCCTGATGTTTCACATTGCCAATTTCACCTCAAGCTGCATGATGTGTATCTATATGCACAAGACATGAACAACTGCAGGTGGAATTTCAACTCAGTATGCTCAAAACTAGGGATAAAATAACATGGCATCAACGGACGAATATGATTACCCTGAAAGACGGCTGGAACTCAGCAGGAGCTCCACCCTTGTCGCCACCAAAGTCACCAGGAGCGCCACGAGGACCACCACGGTACCCATCCCTGTCACCAAACCTAGGCCTGTCGCCTTCAAAACGACCTGGGCCCCTAGATACATTACAAGCAAAGATAAGATTAAATAACAGCAACAGCAATTCAAAACTAAACAATTTGTACCTAATTGGATAGCTTTAATCTGCTCCTCAGTAAAACAGTGTTAAAAGCACCCAAATATGATCTGTATAAATTTAGTTTGTCTTCTTTACAAGGATATCATTAACAAAATCTCATCCTAGAGCAGATTTTATCAAACCAATTATAACTCAGTATAAATAAGTACAACACCGCAATTCTTAAATAAACATGTACTCTTTATTTACTCATGCAACAACCAACTTCACAACAGTAATAGAAATGTTGCATCTCACAAAACATAATTGGAAAATGCATAACAAGCACCCATCAAAAAAGCAATTTACTAGATAACCCTATCATCAAAAGATGAAAAGTGTACAAAAAGACATTTCAGACTTGATTGTACTTTTGCATCTGAAATCATCACCAGACATGAGAAGCAAACATGTGAAATCATCACTAGACACGTTTGTTAAGCATACACATTAACATGAATGCCACAGCGCCTCAAGAATTAAGGCTTTACCTTGGCGGGCGGTCACCAGGAGGGCCAGAGCCGAATGGGCGGCCTGGTGGCCTGGCAGACTTCTTGAGCGTGGCAGGCACGATCTCAGACGGGAGGTTCAGGTAGTTGCGGAGGTGCTCAATGCCGTCATTGGTGAGATACCAGTAGTAGTACTGCCAGGAGAAGGTCTCCCTGACGTATTCCTTGGACTTGAAACTCTGCATGAGCTTGATCACCTGGAGGTTGGGCACATCAATCTGCGGGTGCTTCGCCAGGTTGTAATCCTTCTT